CTCTATAACTTTACTATAATATTTACTTATTATCGCTGTACAATTGCGCCTACCGAACCCGTAGTGATTGTGCTAGGAGCTGGCTTCTTCTGGCAATCACCTCAATCCCCTCCCCACCAGGAATGCTTATTATTATATAATAGTATAGTATAGTATAGTATAGTATAGTATAGTATAGTATAATATAATATATTATAGCCCTGTCTCACACCATCCCATGTATCCGTTCACCTGCATTTCTGTTATTCCTTCCCCTCCAGTGGGGTTATACAATCATCATTGCTAGAAGTTGCCCCTCTTCGCCCCCCACCCCCCTTCCCTTACCCTCAGGGAATCATTACTCCCATTACTGCTTCTGAAGGTTTTCCTATCTTGGATGTCCTGCATCGAATGATCTTAATTATACAAACGAACATACGCAGGTCTCCCAAGATGAGTGAGGTGAAACCAAGAGCAGACCAGAAGGGAAGGGGAGGAGATCTTGAAGACAGAGTTATGGGTGTCATCAGTGCTATCCTGCACCCTGGATATGTCATCCCTTCCATGAGGCCCTTCAGTGAGGGGCTGTCCAATGGTCTGACAGGTGGGTTTTGGGTCTCCACTTTTATCTATGCTCCTTCATGTCAATTTGGTTGCTTGTTTTTGAACTTCTGATACCTGTTCCCGTCAGCACCTCATGATCACACAGGCTGGTGTGCTACTTCCATGTGGGCTCTGTTGCTTCCCTGCTGGATTGGACTGGATTTCTTGTTGTGTAGCTTGTACAGGGGACAGAGTTGCACAAGAACTTGTTTCTGGTTTTGTTTTGTTTGTTTTACCCACAGATGTGTGGGTTAAATTTAGACCAGTCAGACAGGACACAGGTTTTGTCTGTGTTTGTCTCTGAATGGGAGAAGAATCTCAGCAGCTGGGCCTTGGATTTGGAAGTGGGGTGACAGGTTTAGAGAGTACAATTCGGGTTTTGGGTGCAGATGCTGCACAGGTTTTTAGCCCTGGGGGGTGTGGGGTTAAGGGTAAGAGGGAACCCCACAAAACATCACAGGTTTGGTAGGCGCAATTGTACAGCGATAATAAGTAGAGATTATAGTAAAGTCATAGAGAGCATGAGAGCTAAAAGATAGAGTCAAGTAATGGAGTCAGACGCAATTCATGGTAAATCCTTCTGTTCTCCACAGGGGGGGGATACTCTGTGAGAACAAGCCACTGGTCAATACATGGTTGGGATGGCCTGGGCCTTCGGTGACCACAGTCCAGACCCGCATGACTGTGGAGGGGTCGAAGGTTCCCTCTGGGGGCCACCCCATTTTTAAAATGGGCCCCTTGAGTTCACAAAGGGAACAGTCATCCGGAGGAGATTTTGGCCCCATAACCCATCGTAAAAGCCGTAGAGAACATTTTAACGAGACAATGAAAGGGAGTTTGGGGCTGAGAAGAGGCAGCACCAAGCATTGGTGTAAGAGAAAGAGAGTCAGATAAACATTGAGTTGTTTGACGGGAAGTTTCAAGAAGGCGTTTTGCAGAAGGAGACGCCACAGGAAGGAGAGGAATTCATGACCTGACCCAAAAGGGGGAACTTGCTTACTGCCTTAAATCTTGTCAAAAGAAACACAGAAAAGATTTTAATCTGGCCTGGGAGATGGGCCTAAGTATGGGGGTGGGGGCCGAGAGCTTAGAGGAAGCTCTGAGCAGGCTGTCTGCTTCCACTTTTAAGTTGAGAATTTACTAAGGTATTCCTGCAAGACCATGGGGGGTCAGCAAGGAGACCTCTTCCGCAGCAGCACAAGGAGAGACCTGCATATAGGGTCTGCGTATAGGGTCTCCTATACGCAGACCCTATACGCAGACCAGATAGGAACGAGTGGCGCCAAAGGAGGAAAGGGAGACAGGAAATATAAAAGGCTGGTTCCTCAGCAGGGACTTCAGAGAAGGTCCCCTGCAAGGAGCTCCCGAGGAGAGAAGGTCTCTCCAGGGAACTGAGACGGGCGTGTGGACACCAGGGACGGAGAGGCACAGGAGGGAAGAGAGGGGAGCTGGGGACACCTTTGAGGTAGCACTGACAGATGGGGCCGGCTCATGAGGAGGAACACGAGTACACACCGGGGACCTGACAGGAGTTTTCAGGCCAGAGACCAATGACCGCAGCTATGAGGCCGGTGGTGACACAGCAAATTAAGGGTCCACAGAACCCTCTGTAAGAGGAGGGTCCTAACATGGCGAGGTTCCTCCCAGAACGGTGTTCCACAGGCAAGAGAGGGGGGGGGTGTCTCCAAAGGGAGACCAGGCAGGTGGTCGCCTCTCCATGACCTTCTCAGGTACTTCAGGAGCGTTGGCTCAGGTGTGATCTTATAACCGCCATCCTGGTGCACTCTCAGAACAACTCTGTAGCCGAGGCCCCGGAGCCGCACAGACTGTTCAGAGAGGGCTGTACACACACACACACACACACACACACACAGAGCAGTTCAACAGTTTAGGTTAAACCCACTGAGGCTGCCAGGACAGGGTTCAGGTGACGTCTCCCCTCTATAAATCACTGTCAGGAGGATTTTCTCATCAGAAATGACTCTTCCTTCAGACCTGAGGGCCCTTGTCAGGTGACAGCTCCTCTGAGGGCCTGAGGTGGAAGGCTCTAACCTCGGAACCTGGGACATCTTCAGGGGGCGCATCCCCTAGGCAGGCTCCCAAGAGGTGGCCCACCTCTGTGTGGGGACATCTTGCTGGAGGCTCTAAATGTGTGGGGACGAGATCAAGTAATCCACATGCAAGTTCAACTACGGTTGATAAGCGTTTCTTGGCCGGAGGTCAAGAGCCAGCTGGAACCGACTTCTCCCGGTGCTTCATCCTGAGTGCTTAAAGAGGGGAGCATTCAGACTGTGGAATAAACAATGCACAAGGACCGGTGGCATCGTGCTACATGGAAAAATAGGGACTTGTACAAACCACCTCAGCAATCTCAAAAACACATGCCTTCACAGAAGTTACCAAAGGAATGGCCGTCTTACAAAGTGGCCACACTCAGGCCGGTTAGCACAGGATGGTTACATTGTTAAAATGGCTACATCTATGTTAATGACCACATCACGATCACAGGGGGAGGGGTGCTACATGATAATCAGGGGAATGAGTGATACCTGCACTTCTCCAGCCCTACCTGGTTCCCTGAGGCCTCTTGCTCCATTGTTTATCCAAATGGGGGTGCTTCTGAAGGCCCTGACCCCCTTGCTTCTGCCTCCAGGTGTTGGAACACCCCTACCAATTAAGCTGGAAAGGAGCCCTTGGCTGCAGGCGGAGCTGTTACATTTTGGATCCCCAACAAACCTCTTCAATGATGTTCTATTTCTAGTATTCTGATCAACAGCTGCCTAGCTCTCCCCCACTGCCTGTTCCAGTGCCGCAGGCCCCAGGCTCCGCCCCACGCCCTCTGGTCTCAAGGCCCCGATGCCGCCCCCCCCACCCGTGGTCAGTCTGCTGGTGACCACTGTGGCAGTCAGGTCAGAGCCCAGTGGCGGGAGGTGTGGCTCAGACTCTGCTCCATGAGGACTGAGGTGACCCCGGCCTGGGTGGCCCTGGAGAGCCCCTTCAGCATCTCCCTGGCTCCAAGAGTGACCATGGCAGCCAGGCGGTCACCTGCTGGACTGGGCCACTGCTCCTCCAGGAGGCTGCCAACAGGGAGTGGTGCCCTGCACACCGGCATCCTGCCGCCTACATCCCCTCCATGGCCCCTTGGTGCATAGACCGGTGCCCACTCCACCCCTAGCCTTCTGCACCCCCTCTTGGTGTCCAGGTAGTGCCCTGTGCCCCACCATGTCTGGAGGCCCCACCTTCTCTTCTGCCAACCCCTTCCTCCTCCCCACTGGTCCCAGCTGTCCCCAGGACCCCCTACCCCTATCTGCACCAGGATAGAGGTACAGGATTCTTCCTCCACCAACCCTGGGGTGCCATAGTCCCCCACTTGTCCCATCCACAGCCCCTGCCCCCCAGGGTGGAGCCCAGGCAAAGCCAGGACAGCCAGAAAGGACAAGGGAAGCACGTATTTATTTCAGGCATGGGGTGTGTGTGTGTGTCAGGGGGGATGGGGAAGGGGGCTTGGGTGTGGTGGGGGCACTTGGGTGCACTGGTGGGGGGGGGTGCGGCGGGCAGAGGTGGGCAGTCCCTGAACACGAATGAACCATGGGGGAGGTGGCAGAGAGGGGGGCATCCCCTCCCCACTCACTCCTCCACAGGGGCACACCTGCGGGTACCTGACCCTCTACACCCCCACAGGTGTCCACCCCTGCACCAGCCCCAAGCACAATAAGACTCCACACTGGCTAGCCCACAGCGGGTGAAAAGTGTTGGGCTGTAGGACCGTCCCACGAGCATCAGAGGGGACCAGCCCTGAGGTGGGACGCTGGGCACCTACAGGTCCTCTTTCCAGTCCCCTCAGGAAGGACACCCACTTTCCTAGAAGTGAGGGTGGCTGCTTCTTCAGGGGGAGGGGTAGCTACAGTGGGCAGTGGGACTGGACGGTGGCGGTGAGAGGAAACTGGGGGGTGGGCAGGGGCCCCACGGTCAGAGGCTGGGCTGCAGCAGGGCCACCAGCAGGCTGAGCAGGAGCCCTAGGCCCAGCAGGGCGGTGCAGACCCTTGGCCCGCCACCGGCCGCGCTGATGTTGCACAGGGAGCTCTGGCAGCAGTGGGTGCCCACGGCCACCACACCCAGGTTCACACTGGGGCCCGGGCAGATGGGGGAGCACATCTTGTTCAGGGTCCGGCCGAAGTCCACCAAGTTCCC